ATATATATATATATGTGTGTGTGTGTGTGTGTGTGTGTGTGTGTGTGTGTGTGTGTGTGTGTGTGTGTGTGTGTGTGTGTCAAAAGAAATATAAGACTAAAATGTAAAATCCCTCATTGACTTATACTTATTAGGCTTTTAAAGATTTTGTGCCATATTTAACCCTTTTTAGAACAGAACTATTTTTTCTTTTATAGTCTTTCCATCCATCCAAATCACTGTTTACTAGTTAATGTTTACTCTTGCCATGGCCTTGTCAAGCAATATTTGAACTCTTTTATGGGGAAAAAAATCAATGCAGATTTTTTTTTCTTCAACAAAGTAGAAAGATATTAACAGAAATGAATATGTATTATGTGTGTGTAGTGTGTTGCAGTATTTGCAGGTCTATATTATCCATTTTGGCTAAACATTCAACCCTAAAACATAAAATATATATCTATTCTAATTAATAAATAACTACAGTACTTTGCAAGGCACCCCATTACCACATATTTAGGATTTGTGGTAATATTTGAAAAATCAGATATTGAAAAGTCTTATTTGTTGAGCACAAATCTGTATGTTATTGTGATCCTGATCCCCTATAGTCACTGGTTTTTATGGTTACTTTGAGTCTGACAAGGGAAAATATGTTTTGAAAGTTGAAAGTTCAGCATTAACTTTACCACAGGTATTTCCTTCAGTAAATGCAAGTTTTCTACTGATGCTGCTAGACAAACATGTTGCCTCCAAGAAGTAACTTTTATACTTTCTCGTTTGTAGAATGAAACTTTAAGCAATGTGCGCAATAACATATGCGTCAGCATTCATCACATTTTCCCCCAAAACCTCTAACTGTTTAGAAAAATGCTTACACTCACAACACTGTCTAGCTGTGTCTTATGTTTCATGCTTCTCTCCACCTGCGGAGACGTCGCGTGGTGTCTCGTGCACCTGCGTCACTAGCAGCCGCAGGGAGATGGAGGAACGGAACCTAACGCTATCCGTCACTTTTATATTTGTCCGAGTGCCGCCACGACTTCACTGTTCTGTCCTTGACAGGATCACAGACACTGCCAAGGCCTCCAACATTGAGCGGACGGAGGCGGGCTACGAGAGCATGGCCCACTTCATCATCAACACAGAGGATGTGGCCGACATGCTGAGAAGCATCAACTTCCAAACAGGTAACCGTTTCACAGCTATGACGACATCATCTGTCACATATACATTGATGTCTATTTGCGTCTGCAAGTTGAAGTTGCATTGCAGTATATTTAGAAAATGAAGCATGTACTTTTGTTGCAGGTGAAGATGGGGAAGACAGCGATGATGAAGCCCCTGAAGACCTGACCCCCTCACCTGGTCAGACTGGTGAATCAGGAAGACGCTTGTAACTTATTTTTAAACCCAAGGTTAGTTTCAAAGATGAAATCATGGGTCCTTAAAGGAATAGTTCACCCAAAAATGAGAATTCTGCCATTTACTCACCCCCATGTCTTTCTAAAACCGTATGACTTTTTTCTTCTGCTGAATATCGAAGATATTTTGAAGAACATTGGGATCCAAACAACATTGGAGCCCACTGACTTCCATTTCTCAAAATGTCTTCATTTAATTCCATAGAAGAAAGCAAGTCAGAACAAGTCCTTTAAGGGATTTAGCCTTTTCTTTGTACTTCTTTCCATGTTCTAACTTTTATTTATGTACATGCTGGTCTGAAAACTGTTGAACCCTATAAAGACTATTGTATCATATTTGAAACACACATTTCCAAGGCCTCTAAATTATTAACATGATCCATACTTTGCTGAAAACCGTGTCGTACACAATCTATTGCATGCCTTCTGTCATCTGATTGTTTATACATTTGAGCAAGTAAAAGGCCGTTAAGTATAATTCCAAAAAGTTATTTTGGACATGTGTCTTTTTGCTGTAAAATATTGTTGTGTGAAATCTACTGATTTTTTTGAACGTAAGAATAACTTTCATATTGTTAGTAATTTTTCAAGATGAACACTTGCTGGACTGAAGCGAGTAGGTTTACTTGATTATCCACATTTTTTATTTATTCATTTAGGAAAATTGTTAAAATCATGGTTTATCAAATATGATACATCAGGCTTTTGAGTAAGGTTTTTATTTGTAAATATCTCAGTCATCATTGTATTGCATTGCATTATATATTTTGCCCCCACAATCGAAATTACAGAGCTTTGATCATAAAACTAAACATTTAAATATCATCTTACAAAGACATTATTGGGAGATAGAGTGACAACTTTTGTGTGCATTGTATGTAAGTAGTCTGCTATACTGTTTTGAAAATCGCATTGGTTTAAATTACAAGCTGTCAGAATTTCATATTACTTTTTATCCATATAAATATCAGTAACTGCAACAAACTGCGTTTTTGCTTAGTTTGGGCCTCATACTTTTTCGTCCTCAAGTATGAGCTCCATATTCTCCTATATCATATTATAGGAGGCATAAAAGCCTGATCTATCAAGTATGATACTTAACAAAAAACACATGCAAATTTAATTTTAAAAAAAAACTGCTTAACTTCAAAACGTTAGATTATTTCATACGTCAGACTTTACAGGGTTAAAGTGTTTCTCCTCAATTAGTGTGAATCTGCCAGATTATGCAGACGTCCCATCCTGATGAAGTGATGATTCTTGGCAACATTGGCACTCATTGTGTTATTGAGTACATTTGTCATCTCCCAGCAAACCTTATTAAATATTCGCTGACTAAAGCCTCTGTAAGGCTACCATAAACACTTGTTTAAATCTAGTTTATTCTCTTTTATAGACACAAAATACTTTGGACATACTATATGGGGACACATAAGTCACACTTAAGTGTGACTTAAGTGTAACTTATTTAAAATTTTAAATACAGTGTATGCATTTAAGCCAATAGGACATTATTTTAAAGAAATATAGTAAAATATACTTTTCAAGTTCAATTTTTAATTATAAAACAATATATGGTGGATAGTTCAAAACTAAATGTATTAAAATAAAATTTGGACACTAAGGGTCACCAAAGGATGTAGAGATCCAAAAAAAGCACCTTAGAATAATTTCTTTAAGAGAAAACAGGCAAAAATTGAAGTTGTTATTCACAGAAGATCTTCATCTCTGCTGCATCTCTTCTCAGTCAATGCACCTTTTCTTGTCAAAAAGCATTGATTTAAATTTCTCTTCCTCGCTCCCTTGATTTCAAGCTTTCCTATGGCTTTATTTTATGACATGTTAACTATGTTTGATTGATTGATTTATTAACATTTTTGAAGACAGCCCCTAATCACCATTCACTTTCATTCTATAATTTATCCTATTTACTTTCTATGTAAGGAATTCAGTCATGTTTGCAAGAACATGGGGTGAGTAAACATACAAAACGTACTAACCCATGTGTAATACATACTACAAACAGGGCTTAACTTGTAAAATAGCATTTGCTCAAAAGACATTTCCTGTTCTTTGAACAGTGGGTATCCTGTCTTACAGGGGGATCCCTGCCTGTGCATGCTTTCTTTAAATAACCGTTCATTTACTTCAATGTAAAGGTCAGAAACCTCAGTTAATCAGGGCAGCGTGGGCCAGGACAGCGTGCAGCTTTCTCTGGTCCTTTACTGATCTAATAGGACCGTGTGTCCATACAGTAAGAGCAGTGTTGAGAACAGGGCTAAATCACAGTGGCAGGCACTCTGAATCCCTCCTCTCAGCTTCCGATGGTCCGTCCGCCCCCACCTGCGCTAGAGCCGTGAGTCTACATCCACCCATTACTTAATAACCACTCGTCTCTGTGCCACCAGCTAGGATATATGGCAGTGGAGATATATGACTGGATGCATGTGCTCACAAACGCTGACCTTGTCACTTCTGCTGTCACCCCACTGATCAATTCATGGAGGGAAAGAGAGCAGCATTCGGTCTGAGTATGTGCTCAACAATTCCATACATGGAGTGTCCACTCGAGATGAGGATGGATCTTATTTTGAAGATGTGGTGCATCACAAGCTGATGCACCGGCCTTCGTGTAATTTAAAGCTGTAATTCTTCCTAGAGTTAGAGGATTTTTGTTGGGTGTCAGAAGCAGGATGGAGAACCAATCTGCGGGATGAGATGCCACTTCTTTAACAGTTACTTGAGCTTAATATATCATTTAGAGTTTCCTTTCTTCATTTTATGCTTAAATGGCTTTAGATATGAAAAACAAACAGTTTACATAACATGCAGTTTTGCACAATGGCACTTCCTAAGAAATTAGTGTTCAGTCAACATATATACTTGCCAATGCAAAGCACGCACTGTCCTCTCCCACTTGCCCCATTTATGACTAAAATAGACTCAGTGTAAGTGGAAGATTATGGAAGACTTAACTCATATATTTAATTTTTCATTTCTAGGGTATTTCCTGTGCTGACTTAAGAGAGACTATAAGGAGGAGGTTTTCTTTAATCCTTTCAACATGGCAAGAGCTTCTTTCATCTGGTATTTTGTGGTCCTAAAACTCCTCTTAGTTCAGTAAGAGGAATTACAAATTCTTTGTAGCTTCTACATCCTGGATGTTTAAAACTGTTTTGGTCTTTTTTTGATCTTAAAATGAGCTCATAGGAAACCAGAAAACATGTGTGGTTTGTTCCCCTCAAAAAACAAACAATATATATGTTCTATATTGGCTGCAGGCTGCATTTATTTGATTAAAAATACAGTAAATCTGTAATACTGTGAAATATTTATATATTTTAACATGTAATTTGAATAGCTGTACAAATACACTCAACATTAAGATGTCTTATTTAAAATAATAATAATGATAAATCACTACTTAGTTCAACTGGTAGTATCACATCTAAGAAAGATTTTTGGATTAATACTGTTACAGCCCTTCAGTTCATTATATGCATTTAACATTTCAAAAGAACGTACAGCAATTTCTATAGTGACATCTCACCTGTTACTCACCACTGTTATGTTCTGCATGGCGTTGATGCTTGTGTAAATGTCAGTGATGCTGGCTTCCTATAAACCTGTGTCTGCTATAATCATTACCGCTTTTAATGGGTGATAATGAGGTTTACATGTTTGCAGTTACTTGTAAAAGGCATGTAGTCTCATTTAGTTTTGCAGATTCGTGTTCAAAATACAAAGTCATGTTTATTCATTTAGGTGCAATATAATATGTAATTTACATAATGATAAGCAATATACAATGTACAGTATATCTCAAGCACTTTGTAATATTGTCCAACATTATTGTCACAAAATGTGGGTAAGCCTCTTGTTTGAAGTGCTACAGATCAGTTTCCTATCATGTGAGGAGAACATACTTTTGCACTTAGTATACAGTGAGCATCTGGCATTATGCATGTGGTAAATATTGGTGTTATTACCAAGTATAGCATTTTATGTCATGAAAGCATGCACTCCCGTTGGCAAAGCGAGAGGGTGCAACCAAACCAGCTGAACAGAAATCACTCTTGGCAATGGCCTTCTTGTACTTCATTGAGAATAGCTCTCGTTAAAGTGACTAGTGAGCAATACTGATGCAAACCCTATTATATATGGACTGGTTACTCAAATACTAACAGGCTTTGTAATGGTTTAGTAATACTCCTTCCATTTATACACATTTGAAAAATAAAGGTTCCAAAAGAAAAGAAGGGTTTTCACAGCAATGCCATATAAGAACCATTTTGGGTTCCCCAAATAACCTTTCAGTGAAACCATTTCATTCTTTGTGTGAAGAACTTTTTAATAATCTAAAGAACCACTATGAAGTTTCCATGGATGTTAAAAGTTTTTTTTATGGAACCATAGATGCCAATTAAGAACCTTTAAGAGTGTAACTCTAATTAGGAGGCCAATAACTGTAAACGCTCAAAGGTCACCAGTCAATTGTGGATTGATTCCGTTCTTGATTTGGTTACATGTGAACCACCCTGACTGATCATTTGCCGTGGGCAGTGTTTTGAGGTCCTGGACGGTCTGTTGTGGCTCTTGGTTCCTGGTTCTGAAATGGTCCAGAAGTGATGGAGACAGCAGCAGGTCACCAGAAACTCTTCTGGTGAACAGATAGATGCCACTCTTAAAAATAAAGGTTCCACATAACCTTGGTGCCACAAGTGACCTTTTTTTTCTGTAGGAACCCAGAAACTAATAGCATCATCTGAAGAACCTATATTTTTCATCTCCAAAGAACCTCAGCTAACTTAAGAACGAGAAGGAGGTTCTTTGCAGTGGCAAGAACCCACTGAAGAACCTTTATTTCTAAGAGTGTGGGTCGAGCAGGAGGCATCGGTGAAAGTCATATGTTTAACGAGAGTTTGTGGATGTGAAAGAGTGCTTTGAGCTTGCTCTTTACTCGCCGATTGAAAGCATCATCATTGAGCTACAGCTACTTCCCAACCTCATCTAGATATTTGCGGTTCAGTCCCGCTTGTTCCCTTTGATTCTCGATCCGTGCCATTTCGATCATGTTTCTCAGCAGGTGGAAGGTGAGGTCGATGGAGATCGGAGGATCGTCGTTCCGTTTGGAAAACTCCGTGAGCTCCTCTAAGCTGTTGTCCTCGTGAGGAGAGCGCAGCTGCGGCGTGGGGAAGTGCGGGAGATGCAGGACACCGCCTGCCTTCTGCGCTCCGAGATTTCTTAGCAAATACTGAAGGAGGTAGGACATGGCGTCTTCTCCAGCCCTGTTTAAGAGCACGTCGTCTAGCTGGTTGTTTATGAGGCTCAGATCGCGGGGTCGACAGGTGCTCAGCGGGACGTGGGTGGTCAGTAAGACTGAAGTAATGAGCAGGACCAAAGGGACGGGCTTCATGCTGGACACAGCCGTGCGCTTCCTGAGGAAAACAGCCAGGTGTGTTACTACAGCGGCGCGCGTTCAAACCAAACCAAAAGTTTAGTACACAGCTACACAGCCAAAGTATCTGTGAAGTGTTTATATAAAATACAAAAACTGAGATTACGAAAGGAGTTGTTGTCAAATTAAAACCAAATATAAACAAAAAAGTATACAAATGAGTAAATATATTTAGTATTTAGTGTAAACAAATATGAAAATGCTAATAAAAAATGACAAAATTGAGATTATGAAATGAGTTTCGTACATTTTTGTTAAGTAAAGTAAAAGTTTATTAATATAAGTGTTTTTTTAAATCATATATATATATATAAATAAAAAGTAAATGTTTATTTTTAGTAAATATTACTAAAAAGTGCTCATATAAATTACAAAAATTGAGATAGTTGTTTATTATATTTTTTTATATCAAGTATATAAATAAAATGTTTATTTTTTAGTACAATAAAAATATAAAAGTGCTCATATAAATGACTAAATTTACAAGATTTTAAAATGTTATTTTGATTTTATAGTAGTACAAATTAGAGTTCGTTTTGTAGTAAAGTACTAGTATAAATGATTGTATTTGAACAAATACAATTATTTTTAAAATTATTAATATTAGTTACAAAATTAAGAGTTGGTTATTTTTAATTAAACAGAATAAATGAACATAAAATGTATTTTATGTGCAATATTAAATTATTGATATAAAAATGTTAATATATAAAAATATAAATCGTGCATCAGCTAATATCGATGAAGAGTTCAAAAAATTTGCATCTGAACTCGTTTATAAAGCAAATAAATATCAAAACAAATACATTATTGAATAAAAGTAAAGCACAAACATGATCATGATGGTTAAAAAACTACAATAGTCATGCCACTATCGTAATAAATAATACATAAATACATTTTTTTTAATTAAAAATGCGTTAAAATAAACAACAAAATGAATACTTATCTACTAGCTACAGAAACCGAATCTTGAAATCAGACGCCATGCACTCCTGACCGAACAATCAGCTCACAGAATGAACAATAATGACAGTCCTGTACAATATCAACACTAAGATCTCATGCTCGCGTCTAAGCTCGAATGGCCTCAGTCAAGAAGTTGAAAGCATGTCGGGTGTAAGGTAACTTACTCGGTCGTCTTCTGTTGCTTTAAGAGTACTTGTAAGGAAGAGTGTTTGCAGACAGACTGGAGTGGAGCTCCTGGAGCTCAATGGTTATATACATCACACACCGCTCCATTGACGTCAGTCGAGCTGCATAAACTGCTTGTAAATGAGGCAATTCTGAAGTGAAACGAAGAGTGGAGTAAAGGAGCTGTAGATCCGAAGGACAAAGTGAGACGTTTCTTTGTCTCTCCAAAGTTTTCAATCAGAAAAGGTCATCTTGATACTGTTGCAAAGTCATAAACTTGGTTTCAAAGACAATATATCCGAAGTTGTAACAGACAGGTGATCAGTTAATGGTTTTATTGGTCCTTAGACTTTAAAATCACTTGGTTCTAATGTTAAGGAGCTGCTGTTGTGATGGATTTCTGCATGGCTGCTCATTTGTGGTCAAGAGGAGAGCAGAAGCGCGCGACGGGGACACGAAAGGCTCCGTCTCTGTCCAAGGTGCTGAAATTTTTCAAGACGCAGACAGACCTCATTCATTGGCTCATATATATAATATATTATTGTAAACCAAAACTTTTAATGATCAGTACATAAAACTGTATATAAAACTGTGGTCACACTTTATAATAAGGTTTCAGTTGTTCACATTAACTATATTAGTTAACGTGAACAATAATTATATAGCATTTATTAAGTTAATATTAAGTTCAAAACTAATACATTATTAAAATTTAAAGTTGTGTCTGTTAACATTAGTAAATGCGCTGTGAATTAACATGAACATGAACATTTTTATCAACTAACATTAACAAAAATTTATAAATGGTGTAAAAATATTGTTAGTTCATGTTAGTTAATGCATTAACTAATGTTAACGAATGAGACCTTATTGTAAAGTGTTACCAAAACTTTTAATGATCTATAAGCATTTGTGAAATAATGATATAAAACCATATTACCAGTACAGTACATATTAACTTATTTTATGTATTTGTTTGCCAATCTAACTAACTGAACTGAGCAGTAAGTGATTAGGCTTAAACGATTTCTTATCCTATGAGTGACAGAGGATAGGATATATAACAATTGTTATGATCTTTAAGATTTTTTAAAAATGATTTGAATGCTCTATAAGGATTATAGTAATTAAAAAAATAAATAATAATAATTATGTAAAAGTATACTGAAAGTACAGTACATATCAACTGATTCTATGCATTTATTTGTCATTCTAATAGATTGAGACTTAGCTGAACAAGATTAGGCTTAAAAGATTTCTAATCTTATTACTGTTATCTGTAAGAAAATTACAGATTTTATAAATGGTGTAAAAATATTGTTAGTTCATGTTAGTTAATGCATTAACTAATGTTAACGAATGAGACCTTATTGTAAAGTGTTACCAAAACTTTTAATGATCTATAAGCATTTGTGAAATAATGATATAAAACCATATTACCAGTACAGTACATATTAACTTATTTTATGTATTTGTTTGCCAATCTAACTAACTGAACTGAGCAGTAAGTGATTAGGCTTAAACGATTTCTTATCCTATGAGTGACAGAGGATAGGATATATAACAATTGTTATGATCTTTAAGATTTTTTAAAAATGATTTGAATGCTCTATAAGGATTATAGTAATTAAAAAAATAAATTATAATAATTATGTAAAAGTATACTGAAAGTACAGTACATATCAACTGATTCTATGCATTTATTTGTCATTCTAATAGATTGAGACTTAGCTGAACAAGATTAGGCTTAAAAGATTTCTAATCTTATTACTGTTATCTGTAAGAAAATTACTGTTATCTTTTTTTACTGTTATTTTTAATAAATCGCCATGGCAGCAGCATTCAAGACTAAGTTTGGTGTGAATTGCATGATTCTCCTAGGAGGAGTATGCATTAATTCACAGCCTGATTTTTTCCAAAAATCCACATTCAAATTAAAATAGCAGACTTCCTGTTGGTCATAGCTAATGACTGTAAAATAGAAAGTTGTCTGGCTTGATGAGAATAATATATGTACAGAGTTTGGTGACTGTAGGAAAAACTTTTTCTGAGCGCACACATCCGAAGCACACGGACAGAAAGCGGCTATCACAGCATGTGAGTACTAAACTAAGTTCTCATTCACACACAAGTTTACGTCTGTTATGTCTGTGAAGGTAAACTGCTGGGAAATAAATCACATGTTTATTTTAGATTTGTGTATCAGTACCAATATACATTAAATAAATCGATAAATCCACTGCTCTCTTGTCTCCTCTGAGGCTGGGACTGTAAATAGTGTTCTGTGCTAGAACTAGTACACCGTTGTCACTTGCGAAAACACAACAATGGAAGTGGGTGGAAATTTACAGATTAAAGTCTGCATGAAATCAAAATAATCCAACTGAGGTGCGTAGTCCAAAAAAAAAGTTTCCCAAAGGTGAAGAGCTTGAAAAAAGTCTGCACACTCAAACATCAGAGTCAACAAGCGTGATGAAAGAAATATACGGAGTAAAAACAAGGCCAAATAGTGTTCTGTGCTAGAACTAGTACACCGTTGTCACTTGCGAAAACACAACAATGGAAGTGGGTGGAAATTTACAGATTAAAGTCTGCATGAAATCAAAATAATCCAACTGAGGTGCGTAGTCCAAAAAAAAAGTTTCCCAAAGGTGAAGAGCTTGAAAAAAGTCTGCACACTCAAACATCAGTCAACAAGCGCGATGAAAGAAATATAAGCAATTTACGGAGTAAAAACAAGGCCTTGTTGACTCCTTGATGTTTGAGTGTGCAGACTTTTTTCAAGCTCTTAACAATTAATTTGTGCAAATTAATCAGCTGAAAAAAATTGTCTTGGTAATCTTTAATCAAAATCTGAACATTTGCTTCCGCTCTGGAATGGCATTCCTTCTCTGATGACGTCAGTTTGACGGCTTGGGCCATGGCTTGGGCAGAATATCCTTAAACACACCCCTCCAACTGTTAGGTTGCTATGAGTGAGAGACAGATAGGAGCTAAAAAATAAAATGATGCCCTTTATTCAATATTCCATTTCAGCTGGAAATACGTCACTTACATGAAATAAAGTCAAGCAACTTCCGGGTCATGTGGACTTTAAGGGGCGGTAATATTATAATGAGATCCCTTTGCAACATCACCAAGG